TTATTAATTGTTAAAGATTCGTTGTTTGTCTTCGCCTCTGGCAGTAGTCCACACGCAGGTTGGAATGGCCTGTTTTCCTCCCTTGGTGCACAATCTACTATTTATGGTGTAAAATTGCTTTAATTGTTTATAAATGATTTAGAGAAAATCCTCGTAATTTTCAAAAATTGCAGAATTTCAATCATTTCATCACTTTTCCTCAAAAAGTAAATTTTCTAATTTTTTTTTAGAGTGTTAAAATGTTTCTTTTTTAACAGTGCAATATCGAGATTCAAATTTAAACCTGCAAAATTTGAATAATGAAATGATTGTAAAATTTGTACAAAAGTGAAAAAGCATTTCATTGGAGAAAAAATCGCCAAAGTACTTGGATATCCTTAAGCACATCAATATTTCGTCAGGCAGATAAACAGTTCAAAGTAAATTTATAAATCGCTATAATCTCGGTAAAGCGGACATTAAAAAGTGTGTTACCCAACGAGCGATTAGAAAAATGAGGAAAGCTAATATAAAGAGTAGTACGCATATTGGCAGTGACTGAACAATATAAAAAGAAGTGTTCGAGAGTATCAAGTTGAATAAGTAATTTATGGTGTTATCTCGAGAGAAAAAAAAAGTCAAGATATTGATAATTTTGTGTAAATACCTTTTTTATGTATTAAGAAATCATGTGCAAAATCTCAGATAGCCTAGGAGAAGGACAACAACGGAAATAATTTCTGAAGTTGCTATTTATGCATGCAGTTGAATGGAGCATCGATAATTTCAGCAGTGTTCCCATGTTGCCGACAGATCGATAATGTAGGGAAAACGCTGAAATTATCGATGCCCCATTTAACCTCATGCATAAATTGCAACTTTATAAATTATTTCCGTTGTTGTCTTTCTCCTAGGCTATCTGAGATTTTCCACGTGATTTCTTAATACATAAAAGAACGTATTTACAAAAATTTATCAATATCTTGACTTTTTCTTTCTCTCAAAAAATAACAGCTAAAATTGTTCGTAAGCCCAAGTTTTTTATTTTTTCATGAAATATTTTTCATTTGAATTTCTAATAAAATGAGTTAAAACCTGATAGAAAATCCAATCGAATTTGCAACTAATTCCTCTAGGTTCTTCTGTGGAATGTATTCGTACATAATGTTGAAAACGGGTGCAATTCATCCAATTTTTGTTATTATTAATTGAAGGGCGGTGATATATTTCTGGAAACAATCACTTCAAATGTCACTGATGACGTGATAACTCTGGAATTTCAAAGGTCTGATGGAACACTCGTGACACAATTAATGGACTTTAGAAATGTGAGTAGAGTAAACATACATTATAGTAAAAATACAACAGTGCAAATGAAAATTTAACAATCAATTATGATCAGAAATCGGCAGGAAAATAATTTGCATTATTAATATTTCATTACAACATAAATGATTAATGCAAAAAATTGAATTATGATTTTAGTCGTAATGAATAGTAATACCAAATGTAATTTTCATTGCAATACTAATGAGATGTAAAAATAAAATATGAAGCAAATAATTTTTCAATCAATAATGGCACAAAATTCATTTTTATTATCATATCAACGAAAAATGTAAAACAGAAAATAAATAATAAAACTGAAACGCAATCAATTATTCATTATAATAATAATGGAGAATGGGGAATTGAAAAATACGATGACCTTGCCCAGAAATAATGGAAATATTTCAATTTTCATTTTTGATTAGATAAATACTATTTTTTATTTTTTATAATTACTTCTTGATATGATATTTAAACAATGTGAATTCCCCAATATTCATTCATAATATAATGAAAAATATTTATAAGTGAATAGTGATGAAGAAAAAAATATATAGTTGTGCTGCAAATATTGGTGAAAATAATATTTGTGCCTATCTCTGGTTGTGATGGAATTTTCACATCTTCATCATGTGACAATTGTTCACTGAAATAACTTGCAGGAAGTCCAAGTGATGAAAGCTCTAGTCCTGGGTGAGGAGGAACGAGGTCAGAATCAGTACCAAGTCATGTGTTTTGTGAATCATTTTTATAAAATGGATTTTATATCGTCCGATGCAATGGCCAAATTGCGACAAAAAAATCCAGGCACAATTAGAGTTGCTGATGAGGATCGGGGGTATACAAATTACACTATGGACTTATTTTTGGACGTTTCCAAGTCGAAAATCATCTCTAAACATATTGCCACACTGTGCACTGAGGCAGCTGACTCCACGTATACGAGGAGAGAGGATCTGAAGCAATGGGTTCAGAGACCAGGTGAATATAATTTTCAATTCATTCATCATTGTGAGGAATTTCCTGTTTTTCATGAAGTTCTGAAATTGGGAGAAAATTATTCCTTTCGATCATTCGTTTCTATCCGAGATTGATATTATTTCCTTGAGGGGCAATTTCCAACAAATCGATCTATTCTATTGCACTATTTTCAGTGTCTAAAAGTACCTAATAATTGCCTACATGTCCCATTTAAATGCGTCAACGAGAGATTGTCTGAAAACTCCTACTTTTACCTCATAAAATAATCCTTAAAAATCATGATTAAACTCAAGATAAAAAATAATCATTCTGATAGACGCAAATATCATCGAACAAATCGTCTCGTCTATTAAACAGCAAACACTCACCAAAAATCTTCTATTTACTGAAAGAGCCCTCCAAACAGAATTTAATCACCTCAATAACCATATAAAATCTAATCTACTTGATTTCATACCTAAAAATCCGAACAAATCATCTATCCACTAACTCCTAAATCGAAAAAAAAATTGACTGGATAATTTTCACAGTCGAGAATAGCTATAAAAAACAAATAGTACGATGTACCTAAAGAATGAAAATTTCCAATCGAATAAACTCACATCACATCACTGATTAACTCAAAAAATAAATAACTCGTCATTCAGAAATAAAATCGTTGATGTCGTATCTCGAATAAAACAAAAATATACAATTCTAATTCAAGATACAACACCTTCAATTAAGTACCACAAATTGATTGGAATTATTAATTTCACTGTCTTTATCCACAAGTCATGGAATGGAAGTTAACAATCGTCAACTACGAGATCACAAATACATAATTTTCCTAGAACTTCTTATAACGCAAAACGAAGATAACATCTCGACGTGTACTAATGAGAAGGACGTATTTCAAGAAGAATTTCTGAATAATCTTATGTTTGACAACTATTCTCACAATGTTCCGATTTTAAATTTTCACGATGAACGTTTTTTCAAGGGCAATAAGCAATTGAGAAAAATCACTGACATTTTCAACATTGTTCCAGTTGAAATGTACTATTTCGTCATTTTTTTTGTCTAAATTCCCGAGGCAGATCAAGTTTTACGTAATGCACGTCCGCTCAGAGTACTTGAGTCGAAAGATTAGCCCCCAATGTAAAGGTGATGCTCAATTTGGAATTCCCCACAGACAAATCTTATAACATAATGTTATATTTCCAATCTCCATATGATCCCCAGGTACTTCTGAATCGATGCTGATGGCAGCAGTACGAAATTTCACATCATCACCACCCCCACCCCAAGGAACAAATACAACGAGATCACCAGCGGTAACGAAATGTGCTGACACATCGAATTTATGGGTCTCATGTTCGTGCTCCCTCGAGTTGTGCATTGGCTGGTACCCCTGCGGATTGAAATTCTGCAAAGGTAAAAGTGATGGAAAAAAGTTACCAGCAACCTACAGGTGTGGTATCAAAACATGTAAAAAGTATTTCATATTTTCTTACTACTCAAAAATGAAACAGAACTGCATGTGGGATGAATGACATTTACGTTCGCGTTAGAGGTACATGGCATTAAAATGCTCTCTCACGCGGATACACAATTGTATGCAACACCCGCCATGAAAAAATTCGTGATATATTTGCAATAATTTTCATATCCCAAAAATCGTTTTTTGTTCAATCGATTAGGCATATCAAGATTTTTACACTCGATTTTTAGCTTTAACTCGTATTATTGTTATTTGTTTCAATCGAATTTGTCAATTGGTTGATGAAAATAATTCTCCTGCCACGAGATGATGAGGAGTGGCCCTTTCAATCTCCAATGCTCTCTATTGGAAATGTTATACGCGAGAACTCTGTCAATTTCAACATTCCCACCGAATTTAGTCTTGAAAAAATAAATGTTCAATTACACCTCGGTGAACAGCGAAGAAAGTATAATGTGATTTATCTCGCATTTATTTCAATTCAATTCCGATGAATGTAATAACTGTTTTTCTCTGTCCTTTTATTAGAAAACCATTCATGAAAGACTGTTAAATCTGTCCATTTGATATGTAAATTTACCACAGTTAGTTAGATGGAACACAATACACAATCAAATTTGGAAATTCAATAGTCCGAAATGTGTAACAATTACACAATTTATCTAGTGTGAGACGAAGTTCGTCGCAGACCAGTTGAAAAGAAAATTGAAAATCATTTCGTTGACAATAACGCTATAAAGAGTCGATATTATTCATGAGAAAATATGGATAATCCAATTAATGAACAAATTGAAACATATTCGGGAGATCCACCGAGAGTAATGTACTTGTGTCTGTAAATAGAAATTGTAAATAAGTGTAATTACAGTGTAAATTGCAAGGATCAAATTAGTGCAGAAGTCGTCGACTCTTTTAACTCGAAATTATTTAATTTATTCTATTTGTATATTCGTCACTTATGTGATAAGGATCGATAACAAATTCTGGGAAATTATTTTATGTTGGAGAAGAGGAAAAATTTGTTATTATTTTATAGGTTTAGTTGGTGTAGGAGTACCTTTGATATAATTGGAAATTAGGGATGGACAAAGTTGAATTCAAATGCACGAACAATATTTCCCAATAATGTCCCAATGATGTCAATTTGTTGTAATGCAGCTCTCTCATCATTTAAAACCGAATTTCAATACTGATGCTCGAATTAATGTTTCCATTGACAAATATCGCATTTTCCAAATGTTTACTAGTTATGTAATTGTTTTTGGATTTCAATTTTGTTTTATTTCTATGATTTCTGTGTCATCAAAATATCATCAATTTCGATTGTTGGAAAATATGAGCAGCTGGAAGATGATATTTAGGATTTTATACAAATAATATGAGTTTTTGCCTTTTATTGAGGCTTTATTACTTTTTTAACTTTTTTTATTATTTAAATTTTAAATTCTGTTAATCGCAAGATATTTTAATATTCGATTATCGAAAAATGAATTGAAAGCAGCTGAAAAATTACATGTTTGGTATTTTATACCAAGAATATTAATTTTCGCTTCTTCATTTTTTATTATTTTTAGACTTTTATAAGTTGAATGTCACATTTTATTACCCAGAACAAATTTAATAATGAATTATTGAAGAGGAAAAGAACGAAAATGATGCGATTGTCAGCAAATCCATTCAAAAATACGACATTAAATCGAGTTCAGAGTAATCAATATCTAATAGCATTTGTATCCGATATTTCTTAATTACTATAATTTATAATCGAATGGAGTCTTCTCAATTTTGATTATGGAAAAAACATGGAAAACTAAAAAATTTAATATTTGGGAATCGACACAAATCATATGTATTTTTCCTTCTTATTGAGACTTTATTATTTGAAACCATTTCAAATTGATTTTTTAATTTCGTTTCCACAGAATAAATTCTAATGTTGAATTTACCGGAAAGTGAAAAAACAATCATGTGATTGTTGAGAAACCAGTGAATTCGTTAAGAAGAACGAAGTGAAATGGAGTTTACTCATGACGAATACAAAAGAAAATTGTTCAAACAAACAGTGAAAGAATATTTCGCTTCTTCTTTTATCATTTTTAACCTGTGATAAATTGACTTTCAAATTTTATTACCCAAAACAAATTTTAATATTCAATTATTGAAAAGGAAGATGAAAATGACGTGATTGTCGACAAATTTATGCAAAAACACGAAAAGACATGGAGTCCAAAATAATCAACACAAAATACTGTTCGTATCTGATATTTTTTAATAACTTCAATTTATATTCGATTTAAATCTCAATTTTAATTATTGAAAGAAGATAGGTAGCTAAAAAATTCAATATTTGGCATTCGACACAAATCATGTATTTATGCCTCTTATTCAGAGTTGACTTTTTTAAACCATTTCTAATAGAATTTTTTATTTTGTCACCCCAGAACGAATTCTAATATTGAATTCATCAACAAGTTAAAAAAATTATGTGATTGTTGAGAACCCAGTGAATGCATTAAGAAGAATGAAATGAAATTGAGTCTGCTCACGACGAATACAAAAGGAAATTGTTCAAACACTGAAAGAATATTAATTTTTCGGTTTTTCCTTTTTTATTAGTTTTAACCTTTGATACAATTGAATTATTGAAAAGGAAAACGACGAAAATGATGTGATTGTCAGCAAATCTGTGCAAAAACACGAAATGAGTTGAAGTAAAAAATAATTAACACAAAATAATGTAATTGAAACCTCAATTTTGATTATTGAAAGAACATAGGTAGCTAAAAAATTCAGGATTTGACGTTCGAAACAAATCATATGTATTCATTCCTCTTATTCAGACTTGACTTTTTTAAACCGTTTCTAATGGAATTTTTTACTCTGCTACCCCAGAATGAATTCTGTTATTGAATGCATCAAAAAGTTGAAAAAAAAATCATGTGATTGAGAAACCAATGAATGCATTGAGAAGAACGAAATGAAATTGAGTTTGCTCATGACAAATGCGAAAGAAAATTGTTCAAACAAACACTGAAAGAATAACTATAATTACTGGGCAAACAGCCTCACACAAATTATAAAAAAATCGAGCAATTCGTCATCACCACATAATGAACAAAAACCAATTGCTATAATGTACCACCTAAGACCTTTTTGCTTTACACACGTAATTAACCCATATACATATTTTTATAAATATTTAATAAAGACAAAAAAACCATTGACACCAATCAACTGAATTTTTTTTCGTGAAAATATCAAGTTTATTTATTACATTATTTTTTGTTGTAGTTACACTGTAGAAACTATGTATGCCTGTGATTATTCATTGTGTAAAAGTACCTAATAATTGCCTACATGTCCCGTTTAAATGCGTCAACGAGAGATTGTCTCAAAACTCCTACCTCTACCTCATAAAATAATCCTTAACAATCATGATTAAACTCAAGATAAAAAATAATCATTCTGACAGACGCATTAAATCATCTAAATATCATCGAACAAATCGTCTCGTCGACAAAACAGCAAACACTCACTCACCAAAAATCTTCTATTTACAGAAACAACTCTTCAAACGAAATTGAATCACCTCGATAATCATATAAAACCTAATCTACTCGATTTCATACCTAACAATCTGAACAAATCATCTATCCACTAACTCCTAAATCGAAAAAAAAATTGGCTGGATAATTTTCACAGTCGAGAATAGCTATAAAAAATAAATAGTACGATGTGCCTACAGAATGAAAATTTCCAATCGAATAAACTCACATCACATCACTGATTAACTCAAAAAATAAATAACTCGTCATTCAGAAATAAAATCGTTGATGTCTTATCTCGAATAAAACAAAAATATACAATTCTAATTCAAGATACAACACCTTCAATTAAGTACCACAAATTGGTTGGAATTATTAATTTCACTGTCTTTATCCACAAGTCATGGAATAGAAGTTAACAATCGTCAACTACGAGATCAAAAATACATAATTTTCCTAGAGCTTCCTATAACGCAAAACGAAGATAACATCTCGACGTGTACTAATGAGAAAAACGTATTTCAAGAGGAATTCTGAATAAACTTATGTTGGACATCTATTCTCATAATATTCTAATTTGAAATTTCCATGATGAACATTTTTTCAAGGGTAATAAGCGATTGGCAAAAATTACTAACATTTTCAACATCCTTGCAGTCCAAATGTACTTTTTTAACATTTTTTTTTAATTTCCGAGAGGGATCCATTTTGAATCTCTCAGAATATTTGTGGCATTTTGATGTTCAATATAGAAAAAAACATTAGCTCTCCATTTTCTTCTTTTATAGCCCTGGCTATTTTTAACGTAAAGTTGAACCTGTTCATCTTCAGCATGTGCTAATTTTCTCCATTAATGAGTCGTAATTTAAATAACGAAAACAGAATTTCCAGAATTAAATTTTCTTCTAACATCAATAACCACTGGGACAAAAAATTAGTCTATGACAAATGAATCCTCTGTAATTTTTCAATGGAATGAAGATTTCGAATCGTCATGATTTGAATTATAGATTCGGGATTCTTTTAAAATCCTCTGATATACACCGTTAGCAAAAATTTAAATTTCGTGCACAGTTTAGGAGTAATTTTGAGGAAAGCGATATTGCATTCAATTTAGGAGGAAAAATCATGAAATTTCTATTTCACTGAAAATTCAATGAAATTCCAAATTTTCGAGGATGAATATTCAGTATCAAATTCAGCAGATTTTCAATTAATTGCAAACTCAAGAATGTATGTACCTGAATTTTCTTGATTCCTATTAAATTCCATGGAATAATTGAACTAAGATTTCAAGTTTTCATTGATTTTTCTATAAAATTGTGAATTTCCAATCATGAAATTCCTTAAAATTTCGGTAAAACTGCAGCTTGATTGAAATATTCTTGCAATGCAGCGAAAATTCCAGCCAATAATATTTAACAATGTACATATTTCTCATTAGAACACATCGATCTGTCCATCGGAATGAATTCACGCGAAAGAATTTCCTAGAAAACCCTAAAGAATTCTACAGAAAACACTATTGACTTCCTATTGAATTTCTATTGAAAATTCCATTAGCTTTTAACCGATTCTATTGACGAATTCCGCCACTTTACTATGCCTTTTTTACAGAAAATAACCAATAGAAAATATTTTATAGACATAATTAGTATAATTTCACTGTACATTTTCTATAGTAATTCTTCGCCACGAATTTTCCAAGTTTAATCACTTTATTTTTCATCTCTTCTCATTAACAAATAAAATAAAACACTTAGAAATCTGGAGCCAATGAATTTCTGCAGAAGACATTTAGATAAAATAAGTTGTATAGAAAAATCTAATTCTATTTAAAAAACGCGAAAACAGGCTGTGGAATTTTTCCATAGAAATCCATTAGAATTTCCAAGAGAATTCGCTAGATTTTTCTACGAAATTTCCTCCTACGTTCCCCCATAATCAAAAACCTGGAACAGTGTGTGAGAAAGGAAACCCACGTTTCCTGGAAGCAAAATTCGTCCCGGAGTAGATCTGACGATAAGACACGCGGAGAAGCCTTCAAGAATTTCGAGTCATTTCCGCTCGATTCTTCCTCTCATTCCCCCCTTCGCATTTTGCTGAGATTCCTATCCTCGTATCACTAACTGCTGTAGCAGGTCTTCCTGACATCAGCGAGAATGACACTGAAGTCATCATCACTCTTCGACACCTGATCGATCCCCTGGGGCTGACTGGGGTGCGGAGGCTGCTGATGCGCCTGCTGCTGCTCCTGGTACTTCGCCATGTCGATACTCTGGTGATACTGATCAATCGAGTGTCCACTGTTCGATGAACACTGGTTATCCTTGCTCTGCTGATCATCGACGATGCACTGACTGTTGGAGAGATCCATCTGGCTCTGCTGAGGGGTGTAATAACGCAAATCACTGGCGTAATTGTGATTGCTGTCCAGGAGACTCTGAGTTGTCATGGTTGTGTGGGCGATGCTCGTTGGATGTGTGTACTTGTAGTATTTTTCGAACTGCAGGGATTGTTCCTGCTCCTCTTCCGTCATTGTGGGTTCCAGGTGGCTCAGCACGTGTTGTTGGTTTGACTGGGGCTCTGGCTGGTACTCTTGATGGTGCAGTTGATAACGATGGGATACGGCTGGAAAACAAGTGCACAATTGCATTTTTTATAAAGGAGTATAGTTGTTGTTGATAATAAATTGGAAATTTAGTTCCGAACAGGGTCTTTTTTTTCTAATTCTTATTTCACGATTCTCTTCTTCTATTTTTTCATGACATAATACTATCATCGATTGAAATGTCATCAAAATTTTGCATTTTACTTCGTTCTGTGAAATAATTCTACATTCAGACACTTTTAAGACTCGAATTCTGTTTCAGTCGGGGTTTAATCAAGGTTCAATCAGTGCATAGACTGGATTTAATCAGGGTTTATTCAGGATTTAGCCAGAGTTTAATGCAAGTTTTATCAGAAGTTATTTAAGGATGACATTAATCTGGAATTTACATGTAACTTGAAAACGAAATGTAGGAAAATTCTAAAAAAAATTCACAGATAATCTACGGACCATTGTGAGCGTTCTGTAGAAATTTTGAATGAATGTAATTATTTTTCCTACAGGAACTCCGACGGGCTGCGCCCGTAGAGATTTCCATCTTTCCAGTTTTTTTCAGCTAAAATAGAAAAACGTGAGAAAAATTGGAAACAATTCATAACTAATTAGTATCATCCAAATTAAATTCATGTCACTTTAACTCGATTTAACATTTTGATGGTGGAGAAGAGGATGCAATGAAGATTTTGCATCAAATTTCTTAATTTTCAGTAAATAATGAAAAATTAATAAATTATGTGCAATTGGAAACGTCTGTTTCCACGTAACTTTGTAGTTTTCTATGATTTGAAAAAAACGTATTCCGTATTTTTTGTTATTTTATTTAAATATTTTCATACAACAACCCAATTTTTTAAATAATAATTTCGTCGAAGGAAACTTACTTGGACATTGATCATTAGTATTCCTCAAACCCACACTCTGCTGTCTACTCCCACAATTAATCTGATGATTATAATTACTCTCAACATTAGCCTGCATCGAGTAACTGCCCCCCTTGGATGGCTGTGGGCTACTGTAATGGAGCGTTTGATCGTGTGGCGAAGCAACCGGTGGATAAAACGTTCCGGTAACCGAGCCAACATTGTCAAAACCAGACCTCAGTTTGTTGCAGGATACCATCATGCCATTAGCAATTCCAACAGCAGCTATACTCGTTGTTTGTCTCTCGAAGTTCAAATAACTTACCTAATTAAAAATCAAGAATTTAATTGCAGCCATTTCACGTTAAAAATAAAAAAAATAATGACGAAGAGAAGGAACGTTTGAACATGATTGGGAAAATTTCAATTGTGATCTCCATAGTAAGGTAGTTTAAGAGAAAATATGGACGAAAATGTTTTTGGAAATTTATTCCGCTCCAAGAGAACACCTTTTGATAAATAAATAATGGGATTCAATGCCTTATTCCATTATTTCATTCGTTCGTTTTTAATTTTGAAAAAATAACGCAAATAATAGAGAATAATCGTGATTTTCTCATTCCCTTTTCAATGGAAGTGATCTTTTTATTGACTATTGCCCAGCATGAAACGACAAAAATAAACATCTCAAACAGAAAAAATCCTCTTCAAGTGAATAAAATTGCTAAACATTTTGAAGACGTTGTCTAGATTATTGTAATACATATAATGCATATGAGTACATGATGAATCCCTCAGTGCATTGAATCATATCTATAATTTTATCTCTCGAAATTCAAATAAGAAATAAGTCACGAATTTGATTCCAGCCATTTTACGTTAAAAATTGCAGGCGGCTGTATCTTCGACACAGCTGTAATTGTCCGTAGATACGTCCATGGTCTTTCCTTCTTTCTCAAATTTCCTAGAAACTCCTTGCATTACCTCGAATTTCCTAGAAACTCCTTGAATTTTTTCGAAATTTCAAGAAATTTTTCAAATTACCTCGAAATGTTTAGAATTTTCTAGAATTCCGATAGAGGGCGCAGCTCATAGGGACCGTTTCCTTAGAAAGAAAGAGAAAGAAGAGGAACGTTTGAACATAACTGAGTGGAAATTAAATTCTAATTTCCATAACGAGATAGTCTGATAGAAAATATCGACAGAAATGTTTTTGAAAATTTATTCAGTGCCAACAGAAAACCCTTTGATAATTTAAAATGAGAATGCCTTATTCCACTGTTTCATTCGCGTAGTCATTTTTAATTCTGAAAAAAATAACGTAAATAATAGAAAATAATCGTCATTTCTGTATTCCCTTCTTAATGTAAGTTGATCATCGACTATTGCCCATCATGAGAAAGCTTAGATGAACCTCTCAATCCGAGAAAACCTCTCGTCAGTAAATGAAAATGTTAACAATTTTTAAGTCATTCATATTTACTTAAGAGAAATAAATTATTTTCAGTGGCTTAAATTTCAGAATGTTTTCGCTTGACGGAACTCGCATAAATTCTCATTTATCACTATCGTTCCGCGTTACATCATGAATATATTACATATCGAAATGTTGGAAGTGAATAAAAAGATCATGAAAACAATAAAAACTTGAAGATTGACGATTCTCCTACGCGATTTGAATGCGTTCCTTTGCGATAAAGTCATAGTTTTATAAATCTTGTTGAGTACAAAAATATTTTAAAAAGAATTATGCGATTGAAGAAAAATTACTTCTCTCAGGGAAATATGTTTCAGATATTCTAAATTTCTTTCTCAGAGTAGAACATCGAAATACATAGAATGCACATGATATTTCGAACCAATCGTACCATAATATTATCGATTCTCTCCCTGCATTGAATCACATTCATAATCTTGCCCCTCGAAATTCAAATAACTTAACTAATCAAAAATGAAGAATTTAATTCCAGCCATTTTACGTTAAAAATAAGGAATGAGAAAGAGGAGGAACATTTGAACATGATTGGGAGAAAATTCAATTGTGGGTAAAATATTCTGACATAAATTGAGTGAATGACTCACGGATTTCTTATAGGTCAGAGTGTCGGTGTATCCATGAGTATTCTGACAGGATGATATGGTAGTGCCTCCGGCATGTCCAGTATGCAACTGACTGTCGGTGTTCATGTAGGTGTAGCGTTTGCTCTGTTCAACCATCTCATTGTGTTTAGTACCCTCCATAAGTTCCCTCTCCGGGTCCGGATTCTGTGAGGATGGAAGGTGCGTCCCGTCCCCTGGAGTCATACAATTCAACGGTTATTTTATGGTTTAATGAGTTAATTAACGGGGGTAATTAAATCTGCATGGGGAGCTGTTGCATTTCAACATATCTCCATTATTTTTATGGGGCTTGTTAGAATGAGAGACATTATCAGGAGAAATTATCTGGTATTTGCTTGATGTATCGAAAAATTTTACTCCTTTTAGAATAAATAATCAGTTCTGATCGCTTTTGATGCATTAAAAAATTTGATTCTCCTTGGAATAAATTATTTCGTCATTAGGTAGTAGTTCTCATCTGAATTAATTAACATTTATGGATGACAAGGAATTCAGTAGTTGAGTGGTGGCAACAGAACAGAGCAATTCAATTTTTCAGGTCTTATTCAATATTTAATTATCTTGATGGGTACTTTTTGTTGAAGTTTTTCTCCGGTGCAGAAAGGTCTCAATGTGTTATATTGAAAGCCCTCACGCTGAGGATAATTAATTAATTAATTGAGGAAATGTAAAGGATGTATTTATTGCGTCCGAACGGAAGTTTTGTAATTGTTTAAATTTAAATTTTGGATTTTTTGTGTTGTATAGACCCATTATGATCCAAAAAATCTAAAAATGCCATTTTTTTCAAGCTTTCTGACGTCAGGATGAATTTTGTCGCAGTTTTTTTCACCCCTTTTTGGTAAGGGAGGAACAAAATTCATAATGATCTATTGCGCATTGAATGCTCAATCGATTGCCGCCTTTTCCATTCCTCCATGGCAAGTGATAGAGAAGATATGAATTTTTCACGGGAGGGTTTCTTGCGTCGGAGAGAAAAATGTTATTAGAGTTATCGTCTCCAAATGAGACCTTGTATAGTTGTTGTTGAGTGCTATCTATCGAAATTAATTAAAATTTAATAAGTATATTCATTTTTAGAATTTTCGATGCTTCAATGTTCTGAATTCATTGAATGATGGCTTAAGCATATCCAAGTACTTTGGCGATTTTTTCTCCAGTGCAATGTTTTTCTACTTTTGTAGTCGAACATCAGAGCTTTCATTTGAGCCCCATTTGAAAACATTTTAAAAATCTGAAAACAATTTGAAAAGTTTTCTTAAATTGATGAAATAATTAAAAATTGTAATTTTTGAAAATTACGAGCATTTTCTACAAAAAAAATGAATAAACAATCAGTTTTTCACCATCAAAATCATTTGTTCGAAATCGTAACAAATTTAATCATTCAGAATTTTCCCAGAAATCGATTTCATGACTAAAAAAATTAGATTTCCGGAAGTTTAAACAATTTCAATTATTTATTGATAAACAACGAATGCTTTAAAAATACCAATTCTGTGTAAAATATAATTTGAATGACGCAGAATATTCATGATTTCTTCAAATTGTTCTCATGCAATTTAATTGACAAATTGGATGATTAAGAATGGTTGAATCTATAGTGTGGTCTGTATGAAAGTGTAAAAGACATATGAAACTATATGAAGACAAAGGCAATTTCTCACTTGTTGTCATTCGCGTATTATCATAAAAAATGAGAATAAATGGAATTTACCATCAGGTTCGGGACTAGCAATGGGTGATGCATCAGGAGTGTGAATGATCGGAGTATACGGGCTCCCGTACAATGAATTATTCTCCGATTTATAGTCCTGCATGCCATGTTGACCTTGCTGATGATACAACGAGGAAATTGGCGAGTGTCCGCCCCAGGGTAACTGGGGAATCCCCTGGTATCCGTCCATCTTTGTCCTTAAACATGCACGGAGAAAAAAAATGGAATAAAAAGAACATTTTCCCTTCATTATCCACGTGGAGATTGATATTCATTATGCTAATGCGAGGGTCATTCGATGTAAATTTTTTTCTTCATGATGGCATTTTGCCGGGGAACTTACATTGAGTGATGCACCGACGTGCCCCCGACTGGTGTCGACCTAGTTCCCGGGGTATTTGCTGATGATGGCGGTGATGCTGGTGCACCTGGTGCTCTTTTTGCGTGTTTTCTACGACGCGGTCGGTATTTGTAGTTTGGGTGCTCCTGCATGTGAATTACTCGGAGTCTCTCGGCTTCTTCGACGTAGGGACGGCGGTCCTGGGGGGTCAGACCTCTCCATTTCTTCCCTGAATTTGATAAATGTTATGGTGATTATTCGTGAGGATTGAGTTACGCACGAAAAAATTTTAGGGAAAAACCCAGCGGATTTCTATTCAACTTCTGTTGAAAATTCTATTAGTTTTTAGCGGATTCCATTAAAGAATTCCGCAGCTTTATTGCCGGTTTTTATTATAGAAAATGGCCAATAGAAACTATTTCATGGAAGAAATCAGTAGAAATTCATCTTTCTATACGACTTTTTGTATTAAGACATTTTCTTGATAGATTTCTCAACACAAATTTTTTTCTACTTTATTTTTCTGTACATTAAGAAAATCAAACAAAACACTTAGAAAATTTGAACCGAAAACTATGAAAATATATTACTAGAATTATTTTCTATAAAAAAATTGAATTCTATTGATTTTTTTAATAGAATATTTTTCAGTAAACATTTCAATTTAAGAAAAACTCACAGATAAACTGCTTAATTGTTCAATAGAATCGGTCGAAAGAAAATAGAAAGAAATTTGTAATGAAATTTGTATTGAAATTTTTAGACCTGAAATTTTTATTGAAATTCTAGTGTTGTAAAAAACGCAATAAGTCTACGCTGAAAGAAAAAATGACCAAGCCTCACGTAAATCATCAAATAATAATAGGTTTGGGACGAAAAGTGCAAGTGACGGTAATATTTCCAAATTATTTCTCTTTTCATGAATTCACATTCATGAATTCTATGTGTTCATGATTCAGTCATGATCAATTCCCGCAATTCATCCATGATTTTTAAAATAGTATGAATAGACTCCAGTTGCATCGTTTAATGTAATGAGGAGAAATAAATTTAAAAATTAAAAAAAAATTCATCATTGATAATTTTTTCTACGGATTCTAACTTTGATGAGTCGACGAAATTGATCCATCAAATTCTTTCTTCAATTATTTTTTAGTCCTAATCTCGAAAATTTAATTTTCTCATTAGACCCTGCATTATTTTTGCACTTGTAGATGAATTATTACCAATAATACTAGATTGCTGATTGCGCATTAAGTCAACCGGATTGTTTTTATTCATTTTAACTTTTGTTTAGAATTTACTTCAGATTTTAATCTTCAAAATTAAAGTTATGTTTATACTACCTCAAGGAATTCTTGTTCGACGCCATTCTTCTCAAGTGATGACATATTTGGGTCAAGAAATTAGTTTTGTAATATTGGGTCATTTTTTCTGACGGTAATATAGTAGAAATTATATTTTCATGCAATTTTTACCTGAAATATTGTAATTTTCACTAGAGTTATTAGAATTTCTAAATTAAAACTCTAGTCAAAATGAAATGATTTGGAAAAATTTCGAAAGGGCCAATATACAGTAATTTACGATAGATGCTTTTCTCCATGCAGAACAGAAAATTGATGAGCTATTCTACAAAAAAATGTTGCAACAATTCTTCTTGACCATTTTTTCAACTACAAAGCTCGTATTCTCACATTTTCTCTTCAAAGCACTCATTTCCTAAAGGGAGACAGTTTCACAAAAATATTGGCTTCGTTTACGCTTCAATTTTAACCCTAGCCTGGTCACCGAACGCGACTCCGCGATTGGTCACCTCGACGGGGATTCCCCGCTGTATTAGTTAGGCTTCAGCGTTGCCGAATTCACTTTACACTGCCCGGACGCGTTTATCGAGTTTCTGGCAACGTCGCGTCATGAGCAATTTCATTTAACATGCAGGGAGAGAAATGTCAGGTAAAAAATTACGGAACGCTCTGGAAAAATTCCGTGACAATTTCGTAAAATTTCCTACAACCACATTTCGCTCCCGTAATTTTTATTGAATATTTCTCCGTGTGGGAAAAAATAATTCATCTGTTCCAAATGATTTCTTTTCTTTAAGAATTTTGGGAAATATGTCGTTCTGGAAACTACTATAATTTTTTAGACACTTCAATTGTCAAAGTCAAAAATTTTTAATTTTTCCGGTCAGCCAGTCAATTGTAATTAAAGAAAATCGACGCGTGTCGGGATTCCTCGCATACGGTGACCAATCTAGGGTTAACTTTGCGATTGACTTCCTGAAAACACACAGAATGATGATAATATTTTAATTCAGATTTTCAATTTACCGTGATTCCTTGACAAGTGCCCAGCATGAAACAGCGAAAACATAACTATCGTAGATTAAAACAAATCGTCTTTCGAGGAAATAAAATCGTCGGAAACCTTCGAGAGGTTGTGAATAACGCTGCATTATGTATTCATACGTACATGGTGTTTCTGAATCTCTGTGCTATAGATCCAAGACCATATTCATAATTCATAAGTATTAAATCCGCAGTGAAGTTGTAGAACGTCATTGAACAAATAGATTTTCCACCTTTAACTAGGTGTTAAAATATCTCTATAAAGAGACTGTTTCAGAGAAAATATGAAGAGGGATGTTTATTTGGATATTTATTTTGCTCCAATCAACACAATATTTTGACAAGTGTTTAATTGGATCCCAAAGATTTCTTCACTACTCCATTCATGTATTCCTCCTTCATTTTGAAAAACATAATGCGAATGATGCGAAATAATGATGATTTTCTCATTCCCCTTCCAATGTTACATTATTATTTATACATATATAATATACCGGAACGCTTGCACCATAAATTGATTTCTTTCCTGAATCCAACCATAAAAATACTCCAAAAGAACTGAATCATTAGGGAAATTGTAAGACGCAATTAAATAAGTTAATTTTCATCGTTTGCAAAATGGAAAAATTATTTCGATAACGAGTGATTCCAAAGTAAGACACCACAAAATATTGATGTTGGAAAATTTATCAACCAACACGAAAAGTATTTTGATATCTTCTTCTGAAACGATTCACTTCCGAAATGAATACATAATCGACAAAAAGTGTTGAATCTGATGACTCATTTTTCTACTTCATTCATAGATTCATATTCAATCCCCAAAAACATCGTAAATCAAGGATAATAATCATAATTTTCTCCTTCTCTCATCAATTTCAAATGATCATTGACAAGTGTCCAGCGTAATACAACAAAAATTAACCGTTCAATTGAAAAAACCGGTCTCCAAGTGAATAAAATTGTTAGAACCCTTCAAGATATTGTGTAGAACGTTACATTATATGTTTATATGTACATAATGTACCTCTCAACGCTTGCGCCATAAATTGATTTCGTTCCTGAATCCAATTATAAACATACTCCAAAAGAACTGAACTATTAGAGAAATTGTAAAACGCAATTGAACAAGTTAATTTTCATCGTTTGATAAATGTAAAATTATCTCGATAACGAGTGATTACGGAGTAAAACGTGACAAGATATTGTTCATGGAAAACTTCCCTGTGAAAAGTTCTTTGATATTTTCTACTAAAACGACTCGCCTCCGAAATGAATACATAATCGACAAAAAGTGTTGAATCTGATGACTCATTTTGCCACTTCATTCATAGATTCTTCTTCAATCCCCAAAAACATCGTAAATCAAGGATAATAATCATAATTTTCTCCTTCTCTCATCAATTCCAAATGATCATTGACAAGTATCCAGCGTAATACAACAAAAATTATCCGTTCAATTGAAAAAAATCTGTCTCCAAGTGAATCAAATTGTTAGAAATCTTCAAGATATTGTGTAGAACGTTACATTATATATTTATATGTACATAATGTATCTCAACGCTTGCGCCATAAATTGATTTCGTTCCTGAATCCAATTATAAACATACTCCAAAAGAACTGAACTATTAGAGAAATTGTAAAACGCAATTGAACAAGCTAATTTTCATTGTTTGATAAATGTAAAATTATTTCGATAACGAGTGATTACGGAGTAAAACGTGACAAGATATTGTTCATGGAAAACTTCCCTGTAAAAAGTTCTTTGATATTTTCTCCTTCTCTCATCAATTCCACATGATCATTGACAAGTGTCCAGCGTAATACAACAAAAATTAACCGTTCAATTGAAAAAACCGGTCTCCAAGTGAATAAAATTGTTAGAACCCTTCAAGATATTGTGTAGAACGTTACATTATATGTTTATATGTACATAATGTACCTCTCAACGCTTGCGCCATAAATTGATTTCGTTCCTGAATCCAATTATAAACATACTCCAAAAGAACTGAACTATTAGAGAAATTGTAAAACGCAATTGAACAAGTTAATTTTCATCGTTTGATAAATGTAAAATTATCTCGATAACGAGTGATTACGGAGTAAAACGTGACAAGATATTGTTCATGGAAAACTTCCCTGTGAAAAGTTCTTTGATATTTTCTACTAAAACGACTCGCCTCCGAAATGAATACATAATCGACAAAAAGTGTTGAATCTGATGACTCATTTTGCTACTTCATTCATAGATTCTTCTTCAATCCCCAAAAACATCGTAAATCAAGGATAATAATCATAATTTTCTCCTTCTCTCATCAATTCCAAATGATCATTGACAAGTATCCAGCGTAATACAACAAAAATTATCCGTTCAATTGAAAAAAACCTGTCTCCAAGTGAATCAAATTGTTAGAAATCTTCAAGATATTGTGTAGAACGTTACATTATATATTTATATGTACATAATGTATCTCAACGCTTGCGCCATAAATTGATTTCGTTCCTGAATCCAATTATAAACATACTCCAAAAGAACTGAACTATTAGAGAAATTGTAAAACGCAATTGAACAAGTTAATTTTCATCGTTTGATAAATGTAAAATTATCTCGATAACGAGTGATTACGGAGTAAAACGTGACAAGATATTGTTCATGGAAAACTTCCCTGTGAAAAGTTCTTTGATATTTTCTACTAAAACGACTCGCCTCCGAAGTGAATACATAATCGACAAAAAGTGTTGAATCTGATGACTCATTTTGCTACTTCATTCATAGATTCTTCTTCAATCCCCAAAAACATCGTAAATCAAGGATAATAATCATAATTTTCTCCTTCTCTCATCAATTCCAAATGATCATTGACAAGTATCCAGCGTA